ACAGGAAAAGGGGAGGCACCAGTGGCCGTCTTGTAAGAAAAAGATAGAGCTGATTTGAATTATTCATATTATTATTATTTTTTAAAAGGGCATCTAGCGATCGGCACCGCACCGGCTGTGATCGAACTTGAATTGACCCATAATCAATGAAATCTTTTAAGTAAGTAAAATCTAACCCCTCCAACTGCCTTAAATAATTGGTCTAAATCCGATCTTAAACTAAACATGAATTGAAATCGAAGATTTTTTCCTAAAATTATTTTTAAAAAGCCGATTTTAAGAAAAGGAGGGTTTGATTTTATGGTTTTACCTTCTTTAAAATTGAAATTTGATTTTTTGGTTCGAAAGATGCTAAGGATCTGTCTGATACTGGCCTATCGTATTAGTTACCGGTTTTGGGTTTGAAGCCAAAAAAAAAAAAAAAAAGTTTGTTATTATGCTGTTCTTTATGAATGAAAGTTCGGAAATCTCAGTGCAAGGAAAGTAACAATCAGCTGTTCCTAATTGGTCCTACAAAACTTTGCATTTCTGCTTGGATATTTGCATTCACGGAAAAACGCAGAACAATTTCCATATCTTCGCACTATCTTCTTTAGAGCTAATTATCTTTAACTCTCTACTACAGACCGAACCCAGCGTGACGACATCTTAAATGAGGTTGTAGTTGTTGAAGTCTCTTTTGAATTTATCTTTGGCTGGCTCCTTCTATTACCCCGGGTCTTTTGAAGGGGTTATTAATTTGAAGGATTGATTTGAAACTATTATACTTTGGTTAATAGTAAGGATACATCTTTATTATATTTTTTAATATTTTTAAATTCTTTCCTTTTAATTCTTTATTGCATAATAAGTACAATTTTTAAAAGTTAATTATTTGATTAAATAAAACTCTTTTTTTAAATCTAGAATATAAAATTAATTATTATTTCTGCTTTGAAAGGCAAAGGGCCATGGTTTAAATCTACCACTCTCTGATCCCAAAATGAATATAATATATAAATATAAGCAATATAAAAATTTAAATTTTTAAAGATTTCATAATCAATTATTCCACCCTTCCATTAACAAATTTCCACACTTATTTACATTCTACCCCAAAGCATACGTCTCCGAACCTTTCCAATTCTTGGAGGCTTATATATTACCACATACATTCCCTTCTAAAACTCACACATTCCAAAACCAATAAAAAAAAATTCAATATATCCCCTTCTAACTAACCATTTTCAAAAAATTCAACAATGAAAACTCTACCCTCTTTGAGCCTTACCTTCACTTCTCTTTTATGCGTACTTTCTTAATTTATTTCATCTACTATTGTATGTATGTGTGTATATATATATATATTATAATTATATATATATATAAATTCATCTTATTGCCCACATAAACTTAATCACATAAAGGCCACCTTTTTTTTTTTTTTTTTTGACTTAACACAGAGTTCTTCAACCCACCATGGTTGCAAAGGCATTTTCTCATTTTAGATGTCTTTTTCCTTCTTTCTTACTTCATTAGAATAACAATTTATATATCAGTTAACATCTGCTATAAATTTATAACTGGCATAAAGTAAATTATTAATTTTTCAATTCTTTTTCGCTAGTATCATATAGAAAAATAATGAAATGGGAAAATAATTAAACATACAATCTTAGTTCACCCATTTATTTATGTATGTAACACACAGATATTATCAAATGTGACATCCTGACCCGGCAAAGCCGCAAATTCCTTGGATGGCAGGCTAGGCTAGGATAGTGGAATGCGGGACACAGGAATGAATCGAATCATATATCGGAAAACGGGAGAAAACTAATCATTAGAGGTGCCTTTTAGTGGAATCGCTGTGAGAGTTTTGGAAAAAATTCCAGGGTTAAGCGTGCTCGGCTCTTAACGGAAATCCTAGGGATGGGCTGACCTCCTCGGAAGTTTCCCATTCACCTGGCGGCACAAACCGGCGCGGACACAGCTGAGGTGTAGGGCGTCCGTGGACTACACCAAAGCGCGAACAAATTCCTTGGTGATTAGAGTCGGGGCCACGTAAAAGATATAATCTTTTGCGTTTTAAATTGTTGATATCTAATCCATGCAAATGATGCTACAATTGTTAGGAGTTCACCCGGGCACATCTAAACTTTCACCAACAATTGTCCATACACAGTCTTGGCAGCAAACCGTTATCCGTTGATGGAGGGCGCGCTCAACCTCTCAACCACTGGCTTTGAGTTACCCAAACAAAAGCAACCCAACCTCTATATGATCCAGCCCCATTTCCAATGGGAAGGTTTTGCGGGCCGAACAGAACTGTTCTTTACCATTCAAACTGCGAACGTTTCACATGTTTGCAAACTGGCGCAATGTGGGCTCCGGGAGACGAAATTCATTTGCAATCGGTGACTTGAAGGCGGAAATCCACGGTTTTCTCTTATAGGATTGAATTTAGGAAAACAATAACTACGGTTCAAGATTTCTTACATACTTAGTCTAGTTGACGCGTTTAACGTGCCAGTGTCAATCCTCTCCACGCTGGGTGGCTTTGGTAAGCATGCATCCTGCTAGCTGTGCCATAAGGGAAATGTGAACTCCAATTGCCCTATGATGTTAGCGGTCTTAAAGGGCAAGATGGAACATTTCTGTGCATTGGCCTGCAAACAGTGCATGTGTGCTAAAGGCATTCTAAATCGCCCAGAATTATTGTTGCACAGATACTTGCAAACCCACGAAATTATTCAAAGCTTTTTCAAGAACTCAGTGTCCTCAAGCTTATAGCTACGCTCTTGATGCATTCAACAAGCACGTTTCTCGGCACCAGTGGAGCTAATTTTATTGGATATCCACCTTTTTGGTCCAGATGGAAGGAATCTATCAATAGGAGTTGGGGCAACTGCCCTTCGGGTTTTTTCAAATTCACGTGTATATTAACCAATAATTTCGAGTCTTTTCCCCATTAAAACTTTTACCTTTTTTGCCATTAAAATTATTATCTCGTACTGCATTACCGAAACCTTAATATATTTCTACAATTCCGTCTTCGCTCTCTCTATCAGTTTAAAAAAGGAATACCTTGATTTTGCTGAAATCACATATATCAAACAAATTAACAGCGAATAAATTCTTTTCAAAAAAGAAAATTTGAGCGGAGAAAATTAATGTTTGGATTAATTACACTAATTTAAATAAAAGAAAATAAAGTTCCTTCGTGTAGCTAGAAAGAAAATTAATCACTTTTTTATTCTAAACAGTGACATTAAATCCGGCATCAAAAAAAAAAGAAAAGCAGCTATAATTAACTCTCTTTTACTTATTTGGGTGCGTTATCTGTTACGTTTTGATATTATAATTCAAAGAATTATATTCTTCAAACAAAAAAAAAAAAAAAAACAAAAAAAAAAAAAAAAAAAGAGTATCAAAGAATATAACTGAGGCCATACAAGAGGTATGCCTTGCCACACCTTGGATACTTGATTTCTCCTACCCACTATTCAGAAGAACTTTGAAACTAGTAACAGTACTCTACCGTGGGCAATTTCACTCAAACATAGCAGCTTGACCAATGACAGTCGTATCCAACTATCATTCGAGTCTGTCCATAGCTTTCTGCAGTCTGGACAAGCTCAATCAGTTTCCGCACTAATCCTTCAGAAACGGTTTCATTGCGGGCTGTGGTTCTAAACGAATCTCTGCTGCTAATTCGAGAAGTGCTACCTTGGTTATGGTTTTATTTCTAAGCCAGTCAAGTAATACTTTGTATAACTGCTTATAAAAATTGCTGGTGGGGAAAATCCTATTGATTTGATAAAACACAAATATCAACTGAACGTGTTGTTTTTGTAATACTATTATTTTACTGATCTCGCTGGAGTATCCTCGAGAAAAACCGCTTTCGCCTTGCCTCCTCTAGTCAGCTTATAAGCGTAGCTTGTTTAAGTAATCTCTTACATGACATGAGATTCAGCTCTTAAGTGATAGAGCCGGCCACCCCCACAAACTTCTGCAACTCCCGTGTATTCATTTAAAAATTTTATACTATATCATTTCAACCTCATTTAGATATTCAATTAAATTACCATATTCGAACCCATTTAACATATTATACTATTCACATCCAATTCAAAACTCATTTAACGTACTCTTATACGCGATAAAAATATCCACCGCGAATCCTTATTACTATCCAACATCTGAACTTATTGGAAAAATAAAAAAATTTTTACCTAATAATTAGGTAGAATAGCTATAGCGCTACCCATTTCTCAAACCTGTTTACATAGCCGATCACAGTAACCGGATCATCTAAAAATCTATATCCGTCCTCTATCCGCATCTGTTTACAGATAATAATTCATTGATTTCCGCTTACCCATCTCAAATCTATTATAATACCTATATTCTTTCTTTGAACGGATCAAGAGCATCCACGTAGGCCCACTTCCATCCATAAAGTCTCGACAATTCAAGTCCCAATAGTGTGTAGTAGTTTAGTTAGCTCAAACTAGAAAAAGCAACTAATTTTGGAGCTCGTCTGGACTTGAGGACTACCGCAAAATATATCTTAGCGAATTAGCCTTATCGGACTTCCCTAAACCAATACCTATAAGATTAAGATACCCATCGGTCCGAAAAATCGATTTCTATTACGGCTATGCTTCTCCATTCTCTTTTAACTAGGCAACAACATCTTGAAGCAAGAGGGATGCTCCGAATTGGGGGGGGGGGGGGGGGGGGTGAAAGTATATTGATATGAATTCTGTTTTGATCTTGTGGCTCTAATTTATTTTCAATAAATTGCCAGCTGGCACTGACGGTTATTGTTTCTTAGTTTAAGAGCGATAGAGATCTGTATGAGAAAGCATCTCTCTTTGTATTTGTATTTTTCCATTCTCTCTCAAGAAAATGATTTGATTTTCTCAGTTGATTTCTTCTTCTTGACTCTGATTGCCATGAATTAGCTCATCAGTAGGAGAAGAAAATAAGAGAAACAAAAACAAAAACAAAAGAAAGAAAGAATGATGGAAGCCCATAACAGAACATACAATGCAACCTCCTACGGTTACAAACCTATAATACAGGGGGAAACTCAATGTGATAATTACAGTTACTGAATTGGAATACCATATGTGGAGTTGGTTAACTTCCTAACGGATTCCGGTCATCAGGCCCAGCAAGCGTGATCTGGCATTTCAAGAATTTGATATTAAAATACAGAAGGAACAGAAAGAAAAAAAAAAGGTGGAAAGAAAAGAAATACTGTACCAATAAACAAAAAATTGTGTACAAGTAGAAGTTGATAAATTTTAGAAATACTTACATTGCAATCAAAGGCAAACCTCCTTGCAAGCATAATGGCTGCATTTATCCCTCTGAATTTCTATCCCTCTCTGATTCAAATGCTAAAACAAAAGAAAGTCCTTTACTCGCTTGCCAATACAAGGCCTGCGCTGCAGCGTTCCCACCTCCTCTAACCCCACATAGCTAAGATACAAGGAAAGTGCAACAGGTATAAGTATAACCATTTTTCACTTAACTAAAAGGTTAAACATAAAACGAGTGCGTGCTTATGTCAGAGAGAGAAGAGAGGGAGCACAAGAATAAATGTGGATTAGGTACATTGCTTGAAATGAGTATAATGAATTTATTTTCTCCCCCCAAGCAATGCTCCACATAACAGTTCTTTGATTGACAGAAGTGGAACAGAACAATTTATAGTTAATTAAAAATTATGGGAAGACTAATGAACAAGAAAAAAATGACCTTTGAAAAAAGGATAAAAATTCAAACCTCAAAACATCTTCCAAGAAGAGGATTAACTTGCAAATCATTTACCTGCATTAAAGTGGAGTAGTACTCTTTAGTAATTGTCGACTTTCCGTTACGAAGCTTCATTCTCATCTTTCCCACATGAAGCACATGAATTGAGTCTGATTTATAATCTACACCATTCATTTGTGTGACAACAACCTAAGCGGCAAAAAGGCATAAATATGGTGAACACGAAGTCCAATGGGATTCAAGCAACGACTAACACATTTTGCAACATGTTCAACTAAAAATATATTAACTAATACTAATGACAGAAAAGACCAGATTAACAATATCCAATGATTCCAACAGATAAGACAATTTTCACCCATTTCAGTAGCCTTGTATTGGTTGAGCACCCATAACTACTGTTTGTTTATGCAGTTCAATGCACTATAGCTATTGATATACCCCATACAGAATTCTAAGAAGTCAATCCAAAAGGAATATGATTTGATATGTAGAGTGTAGATACTAAATCAAGTGCTTTAAAAATGAGAAATAGATGGATAACAATGTAACCATGAAACTATTTAGTTATTTCTTCAATGAAATGGAATTTTTAATGCTACTTTGGTTGTAGCTCTAGTGTTGATAGGGATGGGGTTTTTGGAAAATCATAGGTTGAAGAATGTAGTGCTTTCTTCTTAAACCAGAAAGAAAATAGTGCTTTCTTTCTTAAACCAGAAAAGAAAATGAAAATTTTAATGACTATCTATGAAACCACAAGCGTATATATATATATATGTGTGTGTATATATGTTACATATGTGTGTATATATACACACACACACAACAACACACATTACACATAGAGCAGAGAGAGAACTTGTTAAGACTTGTTAAAATACAAATTTCCTTTCTATTTTTTCTGCAAAATAAAAGTATATTGCGATTTAAAAATTTATCAAACTATTAAATGAATAATTAATATTACTTTGAAAATTCTATTTTATTATAAGCAATAATAAAAAAAAAAAATCTAAAATCGCATAATTGTTGTAGAGTTCTAAGATCTTATAAAGTTAAATTGATATCAAGCAAATATAAAACACAAATTAGTTTGTTTAAATATGTTTGCAGTATTTATGCATAGAAAATGTAATACATCTAAGGATGATAATAAATAGAACGTGTATTAAAGCAATAAGTCAAAAAAAAATAAATAAATACGTTTACTATATTTTTTCTTCAAATATACTTACTTTTATGTTTATATAATATTGAACATAAGCATTACTACCATATTTATTACAACTCAATGAAATTAAACAGAAAGCACTAAAAATATATTAATTAGGAAGCAGTTTACGTTAATTAGGAAACACATATATGGTTAAAATTATGGATCAAGTTCATTTATGGGACTGTAAATAAATTTAATTAAGATTCATTACTGGCTTTTCTTGTAAATATAAATAATATTAATGTCCAATATTAAATGTTCCATTTTTTGCACATTTCATATATTTCCCACATTCATACATTTATGTAAATTTAAAATATATAACTGATAATAAAAAATTTTAAATGAAAAAAATTAAGCCATCTCCTTTTTAATTTTCCTTTACGAATAGCTCTAGGAGGCCTAATAAATTTGAATTAGGTAAGCTTTGTCTGCATAATTTCCAATTCAAATAGGCTCAAATTGCAGACATTATCGTTGTTTATTCTTATCATTTAATTTTGATTGAACAATAGACAAATACAGGCTCATCCAATTAAATTGCTATCATTATTGTTTCCTATGGAAATAGACTATTCCCTTAAATTTAAATTGTTATGGAAACAGTTTTAACAGGTACATAAAAGGTTATTGCCTTATAGGCACAGTTATCAATTATAAAATAAGAGGTAACCTAATAAAGCCACATGGCAAAATATAAGGAACAGCTAAACAATTAGAAAAAAAAAAGTTGTTGAAATATGAAAGAAAAAAACAATTACGAAGAAAAATATGAGCAATGTAGCTGGAAATCATTAGCTTAATGAGAGTTGAATATTGAATAATCAGTCGACCAACATGTTTAAGCTAACACAAAAAGACAAAGTGGGTTTTGAATCTTCAACACCCCTTACACCATGATGAATTTTATTTTAATTTAGTTAAACTCTTGCCTCAAGACAATGAGAATGTAAGAGCAAGACAATGAGAATGTAAGAGCAAAAGGACATAAACAAGTCTCAGTTCCCATTGCCCACATATTCTAAAGAGGTGGTCAGGTTCCCTATTTATTCCCAATCTTGCATATCTCTTCACTGCCCTCCCTCTCCATCTCTCTTCAATCTCCAATCCTCACCCCTCAATTATCTAAGAAGATTGTCAAGCAATATGATATCATAAAACAATTTATACTTTTTCATTGATCAAGTTATGAACAAAATAGACTCAACCTTTAAGTTATCATGTTCGGAAAGTAATTAATTTGAATAGAAAAGACAGACTTTCTAGCTGCACCCATGCACATGCGCGCACCCTTGTCTTAGACAATTGAAGGCAGCCATCTAGGGAGATTTGATGAAGTGCTTTAAGTTCAAAAAACATTAATTGAGCAACCAAGAATAAGAGCAAGGCCAACATAAACTTGACCTAGTTCACTTTCAACTCAACAGAAGAACAATTGTAGCACCAGAAAATGACCACAATAATGCACTATATGCAACAAACAAACAATCTAAATAATTATAAGTCAATGAAAGTTTTAAACAATACATAAAAAAAAAAAAAAAAAAAACTTACATTGAATTCAACATCATGTTTCCGTACGAGTGCCTCAACATAGCTCCCAAGACCAGCAGCTGGTAAAAAAATTGCATCAGCTCCTTTCATAAATCAATTTAGATAAACTATACAGACGTGCTTCATATAAGGAAGAGTGGACCACAAAATCTTTAACATTATAAAACTGAACTCATGTCTCACAAATGAAATTAGAGAAGCAAAAGAAAAACAGACCAGGATCAATTGCACCAGTAGTAGTCAATATGACCTGCCGGCCATCAGCAATAATTTCCACTTGCAAGACTCGCCCAACATCAATAGGTTCTGGGGCATAAATGGATTTAGTAGCTCCTGCGAGGAAGTTGAACTAATGAAATTAACTGAATGTCTTCAACCCTAAAAGATATCATCACCAGTAGCCAAGTTTTAGTTTCTACAGTCATCTCATTTGTATTGTTATCCTGATTTAAGTAATGGTTTTGAGAAGATATCTTTTCCAGAAACTTTTTCTCCAATGTCTGCAACATGTATGGGAATTAGCAAAGCAAAAGTACACTTTTCCCACTTCATGAATCACAATGACAACTTTCCTTAATTTGGGCAAAAGTACACTTTTCCCACTTCATGAATCACAATGACAACTTTCCTTAATTTGGGCAAAAGTACACTTTTCCCACTTCATGAATCACAATGACAACTTTCCTTAATTTGGGCAAAAGTACACTTTTCCCACTTCATGAATCACAATGACAACTTTCCTTAATTTGGGCAGTGGTATCCCCACTCCCCCGAGAGAGAGAGGGAGAGAGAGAGACCTCTTCCATGATTTCCAAAAGTAAATAGCTCAACTGATAGCTATTTAATTTATTTTTTCATCTTAACTTCTTGGGCACCCCATTCAGCCTGTGATGCTTAACCTTCATCTCTCTGCTTCAATTACAATACACAAAGGTGGAGAGTAGATCTGGAATTCTTAATGGAAGAACACTGTCTCCCATTGCCAAATCTTATTACTGATATTATAGGGGCCCAAAGGTTTCAAATATCAGGTTAATGTGGATTGAGGCAGCATGGCATATTAACGCCAACTTGCTTGACCCAAGCAGGTAGCAAAGCCCATCTCTCTTCATACTCTAACAAATTTTTTTTTTTCTTTTTCATTTAATACTTGAAGTATGCATCCTCTTGTTTGTTTCAAATGCAACTATTTTGTTGATGGAACAATAAAATCATCACAAAGAAAGTGGAATGTGGGTAAAACAACTCCGAACTCCTAAGGACAGAAGCAACCAGAAAGTTGAAAACATTTAAGCAATTATTTTCTACAATCAAACATGAAGCATCTATTATGCTTTTGTGGACATTTTTCAAATCACATAAAAAAAAGTAATTGCATATGGAAACAAATAGAAGAAACTGGAAATAGATACCTGAAATAAGTTCCTTTTTGCCACCTTCAGATGACACACGATACCATTGAATTGAACACTTAGAAAGCTCTGGAGCATCATCAGAGCAAGGAGTGATCTGCAAATATGAACCTAAAACTTCAGAACCTTCTAATTCATAAGACTGGGATATATTCAGTTCGCCTCTCTTGCTCCTTGCCAGCTGGAAAAGGTGAAAAAGAAAGCAAAAGTTTAAGAAATCAGTATCAGAAGCTATTTCAACAAAATACCTGTATAATAATGTACACATAAAATACAATAGGAACACATGCACTTCTAGTTGGAAAACCAAAAATGTATCAGATTTTAGGAGAAAGAATGTGTGTCTGCGCTAGAATCCCAGTTTTGTCTTCTCCTTGGGCCAGTCAAAGATGGAACACGTTTATTTTCACACGCTTGTGGTATTTGTACCAGCACTGCATGCTTGCACTCGTGTGAGTGTGAAAGAAGCTACTAGAACACAAACATTTCTTCTCTTTTCCAAATTAGTAATGCATACAGTAGGTGATGGTTTGGTCACAATTCGATCCAGTGAAATTTGTGAAAAAATGGATAACAATCTATTATAGGTGCATAGACCAAATATGGCACCAGACGTAAGAATCATCTTCATGATGTCATCTCTTTTTGAATTGTTCTTTCATGAAGGTTTAAAACAGGATGTCAAATAATGGTGTAAGCATGGCTCGAAGTCTTTTAGATTCAATGTCATCCCTTTTATGGTGAATAATTTGTTTTTCTCCAAAAAGCATGCAGGTCCTTCTTTCTTATTGCATAGCAAGAAGTTATGCCTTTTGTACCAATCACAAGACTACCAGTTATAGTGCCTAATATCATAAGAGGAATTCTTCTAGTAGTATCAGCCATTTATCCCATTTCCTTCCACATTCAAGTGGTCTTCTTAGAGACATTAACAGTTAGACAATTATGAAAGACAAAAGATTACTTTTGGATGTTATTTGGGCGCAATTGTGGATTGCAAGTATATTTTCAAGGCATTTTTCTCCCAACAAATCTTTTACAAGGAGAACTATGACCATTAGCAGATGTAAACTAAATGTCAGTACATCTATCAATCAAAACCTCAGTGTTGATAGTGCAGAATCCAGCAAGAAACCAAGCACATTCAAGATAGGAATTAAGCCAAGAGAACTTCAATGAATAGGTCATGAAAGTCATTCTTCATCAAAACATGCTAGCATGAAGTGGTAAACCAACCTCCCTCTGAAGCAGAAGTGAACGCTTAGACTTCTCAGCAAGTTGAATCCTCAATGCTCGTAGCTCATGTTCCATGTCCATGACCTGAAAAAAATATATTCAACCGACTAAGATTAAATTTGGGTTTATAAAAATTTGAAATTTTAGAAAGCTCTAGATCAAAACAAGGGAGTGATGCAGAAACACAAAACTAATGGACTAGAAACTAATCTTTTCTTACAATTATAATTAGAAATGTGTAAATTTCATAACATGGTCCAAGCCTGTTCCTAATAAATTTGATATTGCAGGCAAACCAAATTTATAGCAAATGAATACTTTGGACCCCAAAAAATTTGACCCATGATGTAAACAAATAGATAATGCCATATGTTGCTAAAAAGGACAATGACATACAATTAGCAAAATTTTTAAGCACTATAACATTTATTGATTTTCAGTTACAGATAGGAAAAGAAAAAAGATACAAACACCATTTGATTGTTATTTGATTTATCAACATAGACAGTAACATCAAATGGATTAAAACAATCACTAAGGTTAGGTAGGTATAAATTAAAAAATCTAAAACATCCAATAATTCAAGTAAAACCAAACAATTGAGAGAGGAAAACAAATAAAGAGAGGGAAAAAAAAAAGGCACCTATCTGCATCCTTTAGAGATGGATCCTAGCTAAGACCATTAGGTGCACACAACCTAAAGCACGGGAGAGCCTGAGGCCAGGCACCCCTTTTTTCTCAATCACTTGTAAGATTCAATCATATTAGGAGAACTTAAACATAATTGAATAAATTAAATGAAATAATTTGCAACTTGTTATTATATCCAGGAAATACCAATAACAACAAAGATCAGATTCAGATGTACACCTTGCTTGGTTGATGCAGCATTTTAATCCTTCTAGCCTCTTGGACCTCCTTCATTAATTCTTCCAGGTCCTAATAGCACATGAAAATAAGCTTATTAGCAAATACTAATTAGAGAGAAACATGCTGCAAATAGATATAAGAAATAATGATTTAACAAGTTTCAAACACAAGATGCCCTGAAATAAAAGATGAATAAGATGCACATTTATTCTCAACCATTCCAAATTGAGAACACTACCAATCCAATGGTAAGCAATAAAATTGCAATAGGCAATGCAACAGAAACACAACTGTCCACTACTGCCTTAAACGGAATTCATGTAGTTTTTGATGACTTTAAAGACACTGAACATCTAAGATACTCGAACAGTTGAGAAACATTATTACCAAATAACAAATGACACACCTGCTTCCCTGAAGCTCGAGACATTCGTTCATGTTCCTGAAGGGCTTCTTCCACCCTCTGAACTGCTGCTCTGGCACTCTCAATTTCTGCACGAGCAAAAGCTCTTTCCTCATCAACAAGTCTCTTAGCATCTTCCGAGGCCTATAAATGGTTAGAAGCATTCAGAAATGAAAAGGAGATCTTATGTCTATAAGTGAGAAACAAAGATTTCTATTTCTGAAACACAAAAATGAAAATTAACAATCCAGAGGATTCATGAAAAAGATGCAGACTTTGACACACATTATGAGTTGATGACAATTTTTCCAGAATAGTGGAACATTCGAACATCAACACACATAGTAAAGAAAGCTATTGTATTCAGGAAGCACACACTACAATCCCTCACTTCCCTTTCCATTGCAAAAAACGAATAAAGGTTATTCGCTAGCTAATTTTCAAATTTACCATAGCAAGTAGAAATCTATTTTGTTCCCCACTTTTTCAAAATTACCGAATACAGAGAAAGAGTGGGAGGGACAACAAAATAAAAGAAATATGCAAAATAATATATATATTTTTTAATTTTAATCATACGGTATTCGAAGCCCACTGGCCCGACTAGTCCGGATTCGCACCGGGCGGGCCCACAAAGGGGCACAAAGCGCTCCCTCCCGATTGTTTAAAGGGACTCCATACCCAGGACTCGAACTTGAGACCTCTGATTAATAAAGAAGGGATCTCTGTCATCTTCTCTCACCCTCGAGGGTATATGCAAAATAATATTGTACATTTTCTCCCTATTAATAATTAACATGGTCCACAAAATTATATCTAAGGGTCAGATCTCGTTGAGAACATAGAGTCGTAAACAACAATAGCATAGTCACAGGAATTCACAACTAGAAACAAGACATTGGACATATCCCCTGCTTCTACTAAGATTGCATCACCTGCTTGAGAAAATTAGCTAGCTTCTTCACTTCTGCTTTTTCTTGAACCAACTCTCCTTCCCTTTGAGTCAGCTGAACTGCTAAAGCTTCCACCTGGAAGAAGAAACCATAATTTTGCATGAATTAGTTGCACAAGTTAAAAGACATCAGGTAACACATTGCAAAGCAAAGAAAATGATAGCAGATATGTTCTCTGAGAGAAAAAAACAATAAACTAGGAAAAGACAAAGAGGATTTATAGCAATAATGTTGCTTATTTTAGGTAATTATAACAATAACTTACAAGTGGATCTTGTCAATAAAAAGTATCTTGATAGTTAGCAACTCATTGACTGGAAAGCTTTTCATAAAAAAAGAATGCATAATAACATTTCTTATTTAAGGATACTGTTAGGGCATCGTTAGCATCTTTGCTTTAGTTACATGTCATCTTCACCTTCTTATTTTTATTTTATTGCTCAAAAAATAAATTCCACAGAATATATTAGCATTCTAGTAGTTGTGCAGTATTTTCCTTGCAAATTGCAGAAGGCTCAAATAAGATTATGTCAACAAGAGAAGGTACAAGTGGCACCAATTATAAGATGCAAGAAAATAATTACCAAAACCAGCATGTGAAACAAAGATCAAGAAAAGTGCTGATATGCAAGAGTTAACCAACAGAAGCCGAAAATACCAAAGGAACTAGAAAAATGCCGGAAAAGTTGCAGATGGACTGAATGGAAACAGCATTACCAAGCATTTAACATAAGATAATTCCCTAGATAACAAGGCTAACCACCTATATAACCTCTGATACTTTTTTCCTTGGGCTTCTGAACTGCTACACGTTTCACTTTCATGTATCACTGTGCCATTAAGTGAACAGTGTGCAATACGAAAAAGTAAGAAATTTCCATGTGACCATTTATTTATTGTTGTAATAAGATGTCATTCCACTACCACAATCAAAATTGCCAAACGTTTATTCTTTAGTAAAATAGGTTTGATATGTTAGTTAAATCAGATACCTGCATTTCTAAATTGCCCGGTATACATTTGCAAATTGCAATTGCATGATTTACCAAATTATGCCACTAGTTATATGGCAATAGGAATTAAGCTTTCAAGATAAACATTAGACAAGATTTCTTTAGGTGAAAGAGAAATTTTGATAAAAGAAGCAATTATTCTGTACTAACCATTGCAATAGCTTCTTCTACATCATCCTTGTTTCTGCCTACCACACGTCCACGCAAGGATTCTAATGCATCTCTAAGATTCTTTAAAAGAACATGTTTCTCCAACGAAGCTGCCTCTCTGAGTCGAGCCTGTAATCCACATATGACTAGCTTGAGATTGCCAATATTTCCACAATTCATTTATGTTCCACTTAAAAATTAATTACTGGGCAAAACCATATCATAGCTCGATATAATACTACCAATTGGTATAGTTTAACAAGTTTAATCATCCAATAACAAAATGAAAACAAAGCATAAATTTGACAGTTATTTTCCTAAACAAAATTTTCAGAGAAAAGTTTACTCCTTCAACAACCAAGAGCAAGTACTGCAACAATTCATGCCAACCTCAAAAATTAAATCAAGCATTCAAAAATTGAAATGCAAAGACAAACAAACTTCACCTCCTCAGACAACTTCGCAGCAGCAGCTAAACCCTTCTCGAATTTACTGGCAAGGTCACGAACAGAGAGGCGTTTCTGCTGCTCCAAAAGCATTGCAGTCTCACGCGCCACAACCTCCTTCATGGACAGTACCTTTGGGTCATCCTTTGCATCCACAATTTGATTGTTAGCTCCAAGTTTGTAATTAGGAAAACGACTTGAAGCAAATATAACATCAGCTGATACAGCTGGGACAGCATCTTTCTGCATTGTGCCTCCAAAGTCACGGTTTACCCTTGTCATTATTCCAAACAAACTACCCTGTTTGATAAGCAAAAAGGGTAGTCATTATTCCAAACAAACTACCCTGTTTGATAAGCAAAAAGGGTAAGGTAAACAAAATGAGAAGTTAACATTATAATCATTTTAAAAGGACTTCTCAACATAAAAAGCTAAATGTGGGTCAGTGTTTAACAACCCAAATTAACTCAATTAGGTCATTAATCAGACAAAGATAAAAGAAATGAAGCCTTGTGCTTGCTTAAAAATTGCAATGAAAGAAAAGGAATTAAAAACTACCCTGTTTGATAAGCAAAAAGGGTAAGGTAAACAAAATGAGAAGTTAACATTATAATCATTTTAAAAGGACTTCTCAACATAAAAAGCTAAATGTGGGTCAGTGTTTAACAACCCAAATTAACTCAATTAGGTCATTAATCAGACAAAGATAAAAGAAATGAAGCCTTGTGCTTGCTTAAAAATTGCAATGAAAGAAAAGGAATTAAATTTATCAAATTTTAAACTTTTAATCAGCTGGGAGGAAAATTCAAATTAATCTATAATTTGTTTTCTGCTATTTTGCCTCAGTTTTCTAAGCAAACAAAGCCAGTTATAATCAACAAAAGAACAAACTTTTTTAACAAAAATAAAATAAAGCGAAAATTAGAATGCTCAATTTCTTGCATATTCTATCAATTTAAAACAAATAAGCCCTCAAATAACAGTGACCATGCTGATCATAGCAACTAAAATTAGCTCTAGAATGAAACCCATATGTTATAATTAAAAATTTTGAAAAAATAAAAAGAGAATCTTGTCACCTGTAATCAGAGAAGACAAAAAAAATAAAAGCAACGAAATCTAAACCCAATTCTACTAGCAAGTCAAAGCGAGAAATGAAAAACTATGTAAAATAGAAGCCCAAACTTCTAATATTGTTTCGATGAGAGAAACCAACGCAGACAAATTTAACATTGGAGAACAGAAACAGAAGCTTCGACTTACAGATCATGAGAATACACATAGAAGAAAAGCCAAAAAGTTATAAATTAGGAAAAATAAGAAATGGCTATTAGGAGATCTTGGATCAGATGCAGGAACTAGCAACGAAATGGGAAATCCTCATTGATAGTTTATAGAGAGACAGAATCATAATTTTATCGGATGAAATTAAACAGAAGAAGAAGAAGAAGAGAAAAGGAGAGTAAGCAAAAGCAGGCTAGCTTGCTTTTTGAAAAGGGGAGTATAGAAATATAAAGAGAAGGGAGAGAAAAGCCGCCCTTATGATTTGATGACTGTTTCTTTTTATTTATATATTTAATATTTAATATTTAATATTTAATTCAATTATTTATTTGAAAGAAACAAATGACTTGGATTGTATTTCTCCTAAAAAAATGACTTCGATTGTATTTTTTTTAAGCTAAATTTTTCCTCATTAAGCTATGATGTGTCATATCCTTCTTATTTATTTATTTTTTTAAAATCATACACGGAGTGGCTGGGCACAATTTAGTCAAAATAATCTAACCGATCTAATTAAAAAAAAATTTATTAAATCAATTATTCAGTCTAAAAGTGGTTGTAGATATGTTGCGCATGAATCGAATAGGAATGCCTTGAGATAGTGGACGAATTGATTAATCCGTTGTTCGGTCTAAAAGTGCTTGTAGGTTCGTTTAACCTGTGTTCATTAGAAGTGTCAGTGCTTGTAGGTTCGTTCAACCTGTGTTTATTAGAAGTGTCTTGGGATAGGTGGACAAATGGTGCAAAGCCTTTTTGTTCCGAAAAAAGGGAATAACAATAAGAAGAGTTCAGGAGTGAGAAAAACAAGGTTGAGAGGGATAGAAGAAAAATATAAGAAATTAGAGGGTTGAAAAAGAAAGGGACACAAGGTGATTTGAATGTACGATACAATCAAGTTTGTCTATATTGATTCACATGTTATCTACAATGGAGTCACTCCCTATATATAGGAATTCTAAGAGTACATGCCAAGCAAGAAATATTTTAAGATGTATAATACCGTCAATTTATACAAAAATATTTATATAATTGGATCCCAAACCTAAATAATCCCCTAAGAAATATTTCTTCTTCTTTTCTTCTTTTCTTCTTTAGGCTATTGGCATGGGCTTCCGTACTTGGCCTTGCTAATGGCTAATGTCACCAATACCTCTTGCGCATGGGTCTCCATTGAAGAGTCATTAGGGACACATGTGCACTTTGAGAGCTAACCATTTTGCTACGACAATTGTGCGTTGCACCTGAGGAATCAATTTCCTTTTGACTATAGGCTTTTGGATAATGACAAAGTTAATCTCGTTATCCACTCAACCACACATTTTTAACATCAATGCTCTTGACCTTTCGCTTTTTCGACCCCTAGTTTTCTTTCGACAAGTATAAAAGGGAAAAGAGAGGTCGCTATGCTCTTCTATCATCATCTTCTTTTTCCACTCCCTTTTTTGACTGTTCATAATGATTTCAAACGGTTAATTGATTAAGCCTTTCAAGCAATTTTACTTTAATCCCCAAGAATCTCCACCTCGAAACTGTTTGAAATCTCTCTTTCATCTGATCAAATGACCCATGTTGATTTGGAAATTCATTTTCAGCTATTTAATCCCTTAATATTTTGGTCGCTCTATATGGAAGGAAGGTTATTTCAGAATTTTTAACGCGTCTCCTCCTTCAAAATCTTAATTTTAGACTTGTATGAAACTATCCATCCTAGTGGATTTTTCAGCCACTTAGAACCTAATTTATCAAAATCTCCCTTTCTTAACCTAACAGATGCATATCTATATACATTCGTTATGTTTAGTTTGGGTGATACTAGGCTCAACTACTAATGCTGTGAGGGGACCGAGGGCTTCCCAATGACTAACAAGACCATAGTCGTTGAGAGTTCGAAGATAACTTGCTTTAGTATAGGGATCGATTGTTCATAGAATAGGAATTTTAGTGTAACTCGGTCCATTGGGATAGGATTCTAAAGTAAATCAGTCATTTGATTGTGTGAAACGATAAAAGAGAGTAGTTTGGAATGATAATCTCGTATATATCATTAATGTATACTAAAGTATTTATAGATACATGAGAAAGGTAGAATAAGAGATAACTATAATAACTATAATAACTATACAAGATAATTATTAATTACACAACATATGAATATAAATCTCTAACACCCCCCCCCCTCAAGCTGATGCTGGAGAAGAGCAAATGCGAAGCTTGGAAAAATGCTTTGCAAATAGAAGTTGACCAAAAGGCTTCGTTAAGCAATCTGTGATTTGATCATCTGATGAGAAAAATCGAATTCGTAGCTTGCCCAACTTAATTTGTTTCCTAACAAAATGGTAATCTAATTCTATGTGTTAGGTGCGAGCATGAAAAGCTGGATTAGCACTAAGATGAGTTGCACCAAGGTTGTCATACCATAAAGTAGATGGAGGAAACCCAAGCTCACATAACAGTGAAGTGATCCATATAAGCTCAGCTGTCACATTGGCCATGGATTTGTACTCACTTTCTGTAGATGAGTGAGCTATAGTTGGTTGCTTCTTAGGGGCCCAAGATAAAAGATTATGCCTAAGATAAACTAGATATCCATTAGTAGAATGCCTGTTATCTAGGCAGCTAGCTTAATCACTGTCAGAAAAAACATTGTAACTGGAAAGAGGAGTCATGAGTGATTACTAACCCGGTAGTTGCAGTAGCTTTAATGTAGCGAAGTAGTCGTTTAACTACCTGCCAATGAATATCAGTTGCACAGTGCATGAATTGCGCAAGCTTGTTGCCACTAAATGTGATATCTGGTCGAGTTAAGGTCATATACTAGAGGGACCCTATCACCTTACGAAATTGTTCAGGATCAGGCAGCAACTCACCCATTGATTTATTTAAATTAGGAGTTGTTGCCATGGGTATGTTGCAAGGCTTGCAGTCCTGCATGTTAGTGTCCTTCAAGAGATCAGCATACTTCGACTAAGTTAATAAAAGGCCTTCAGGAACTTCAGTGACCTCAATACCAAGAAAATAGTTTAACATACCCAAATCATGAACTGGAAAGGTTGCTTTGATTTGATCAAGGAACCAATTCAGTTTAGAAGAATTTGAACAAGTCACAACAATATCATCAACATAGATCAAAAATAAATTTTGAGCACACCTTTGAGTAACATAAACAATGATATGTCTGCCTTGGAGGTTTTAAAATCGAGAGTTTCTAAAAAATTTGATAGCCGTTGAAACCAAGCTCTAAGGGCTTGTTTGAGACCATAAAGATAGCAATTTAATTGACACACATAATCTGGCTTAGAAGAATCAATAAAATCCTTCGATTGTTCCATAAACAAGGTTGTATCTAAAAAACCATGCAAAAAGGCGTTAGAAATATCAAGTTGATGTAGTGGCCAATTATGTACTACAGCAAGAGTAAGGACAGTGCAAACTACGGTGGATTTCATACCAGGTGAAAAGGTGTCTTGATAGTCTATACCAGATTGCTGTGTGTAACCCTTAGCAACAAGATGCGCCCTATAGCGCTCAATTGCACCATCAACCTTCTTTTTAATGCAAAAAATCCACTTATTGTCGATGACATTAGTATTATGGGGTCACGGAATCAAACTCCATGTGTTAGTTTGTAAAAGAGCATTCAGTTCTTGTTGTATAGCATCTCTCTGTACCTTGAATTTCTTTGCCTACAAAAATGTCTTAGGTTCCTTCAATAAATAATTTGGTTTAATTTCAGCAATATGGGCTTGTCTTTTATTCATAGAAGAAGCGCGAAGCTGCATTGAATGAGTACGGTGAACAATCGGAGTGGAGGCAGTTGTAGGTTCAAGAGGAGAGGTTGATAGATCAACGACTAAGGGTAAACCAGGAGAGGTATCAAGAGAGGATTGAGCTGGCTATTCAGAAATAATTTGAAAGAGGTTGGGATAAAGGAGGAGGGGGAGAGAAATCAGGCGTTTGGTATGGTGAAAGAGTTGGAGTAGAAGTAAGAGAAGAAATTGAATTAGAAGATGGAGAAAATGAAGGAATAAGAGACGTACCAGATGTGAAGATGGGACCCAAGGGAGTCTGAAGCATGTAAAAAACCTGCAACCAAGGAGAATCAATTTGTTTGGATGCTTCACTACTTGAATTACTTTGATAAGGAAAGACTTGAGGATTAAACCGAACATGCTTAGGTAAGTATATTTGACTAATAGTCTTATAGAGACATCTATATGCACTGTGACTAGGACTCTAACCAAGATAAATGCAGGGCATTGTTCGAAAAGAAAATGTATGTTTATTGTAAGGTCTTAAGAGTGGAAAAATCAAGCAACCAAAAGGGTTGAAGGACATATAATTTGGACTCTGATTATATAAAATTTGATAAGGTGATTTTTGTTTGATGACATTGGATTGGAGAATATTAATCAAAATGGTACTATATTGAAGGGCAAAGTTCCAAAATTTAAATGGCAATGTGGCATGAGCTAATAAGATTAAACAAGTATCAACTAAATGTCGAATTTTTCGTTCAAAAATTCCATTTTGTTCATGCGTGTATGGACACGGAATGCGATGAATAATACCAGTTTGTTTAAAATATTGATTCAATTTTTGATATTCTCCTCCCCAATAAGAATGAAAAGCTTTAATTTTGGCCTGAAATTGTCATTCAACCATGCTTTCAAAATTAAGAAAAATTGAGTAAATGTTACTCTTATTTTTGAGAAAGTAAACCCACGTATAATAAGTGAAATTATCCACAAATAGAACAAACTAACGATGACCTAATAAAGAAATAATAGGGGCTGGTCACCAAACATCAGAGTGAATTATTTGAAATGGAACAGTACTTGTGTGTTCTACATAAGCTAAAGACAAACGGGACAATTTTCCTAAACTGCAACTAGCACAAGAACTGAGTTAATTAGTAGAACTAATTAAATGCTGATTATGAATAAGAGAATGGAGGTTTTCAACATTCGGGTGACCAAGATAGGTGTGCCAATCATCAAGTGTTGGTACGGAGGCTGTCATAGCTGTCTTAGGAAGTTGGCGAAGGTTATACATTGCAGACTCACTTGGACTGCACATCAGAATTTGGTGGCTGCATTGATCCTTAATAAGAAAATGCGTGGGCCAAAATTCAAAGTAGCAAGAATTGTCTGTAGCAATTTTTTTATCAGAAAGCAGATTTTTCATTATTTTTAGAACATATAAAACATTTTGCAGATAAAGAGATTTCAAAGGAGTATGTAGAGTGGCCA